AAAAGGAATGTCAACAGGCATCCAAGAAGTCTGTCTACGCTCAAGCCAACATTAGTTTTGCCATCTGTCATCTGCATGCTCACCTCTCTGCCTGGAACATTGTTAGTTTGAAGGGATCTAAGAACATGTCTTGGCATAATATAAAGGTACAAAGGTGACTATTTGCATTGTGGAGATGAGACATTTATCAAAGTGTTAACTAAATCAAGCCGACTCCCAGAAGACACTGATCTATTTTTAAATGCATTAAATAAGACAGAGCACGATCAAATTCCAACATTATAAGGACTCAAAGGATGCCTGAAGATGGTACAATTTAAAAACACGTCTTTGTGTGACTTCAAAATCTAAAATATGTATGAAATGGAGGCCATTCTCAGCTATGCACTTGTATTCTTCTGTTCATTTATATGTAGAATAACTTTTCTCGAAACAGAGGAGCTCTGCAACTTATCTACGTGATGTATTTATTTGCATTTGCTATAAAACGTATAAGAAAGAGTAGGAATAGTAGAACTTTAAAGCACCCCTAAGATAGTAAAACCGTGATCCCTTTATCATGTCTAGAACCAACAATATGACTACCATTTGATCCGTTTGAGAGGCAAAGGGATAACTATCTATACAAAGTAGGGCTGCTCGATTATGGCAAAAATCATCATCTCGATTATTTGGGTCAATAATTGATATCACGATTATTAAAAACGATTATCCATTGACTTTGAAAACATCCATTTATTGGAGAAAAAAATGTGAACAGTATGTCTTTAACAGTTGATTACCCTGAACTTTTTTTTTTATATATATTTTTATTGAAGACACATAAAAGACATTTGGTACATTGACAGGGACCACAGTTCAAAGTTACTAGTAACCATTTAGTCTCTACTATTGTGCATCAATTGACAGGCATACAGTATTTAAGCCACCTTCATAACTCAAACAGACCAGATAGCCAAATATAAGGGAGTAGTGTACCGACTGAACTAAACAAGATAATAATAGCAATAATAATAATAAAATCAAAATAATAATACTAAAACAATACAAAGACAAAACATTTACATAAATACGTAATAAAGGGGAAGGGGGGGGTGTCCATCAATCAGTAACCAAAAATGCGAGAGATTGGAAGAAGGTTAAGAAGGGTTGCCACTTAGTGTAAACATAGAGGTTCTGCCTCTTAATGAATACTTAATTTTCTCCAATTTTAGAAAAGACATGACATCGCTGCGCCACTTAGCATTGGAAGGAGCTTTTTTTGGATTTCCAGTGAAGAAGAAGAAGTCGTCTTGCCAATAACGAAGTAAATGCCAAAATATCTAATTGCCCCGAGTTGTATCTGTTGTAATCTTCTGGGCACCCACATATGGCAATATGGGGACAGACTTTCACAGTGAGTGAGAGTATTCTTCTGCCAAAAGGAAAACACTAATGGGCAGGAGAAGAACATATGGGATAGGTTGCAGGGAGAGGCTTGACATTTGTCACAGATGTCAATAACAGTGGGATATATTTGTGACAATCGTGCCTTTGAGAAATGAACCCTGTACAGCACCTTGAACTGTATGAGAGTGAGACGAGCACAGGAGGAACTCGTATGAATCCTGTTAAGAGCAGTGTCCCACCAGTGATCACCCAAGTTCACACCTAGCTCAGCCTCCCAGGCAGCCTTGATTTGAGTGGTGTGTGAGCTGTCATCGGTCAGGAGTTTGTTATATATTTTTGAAATAAGTGACTTTTGAAGGGGATCGGAACAAAGAAACTCATCCCATAGTTGATTAGGGGGTAGAGAGGGAAAGGATGGAAACAGGGATTTGGTACAGTGTCTAATTTGGAAATAACGAAAAAGGTGAGATGTTGGGAGTTCAAATTCCCTTGATATATCAGTAAAACTACGAAAGGTATTATCCTTATAAAGCTCTCTAAAAGTCCTCAGGCCCTTCTCATGCCATACAGAGAAAGTGGGGTCAGATAAGGCAGGTCGGAATAAATGGTTTCCCAATAAAGGAGCTAAAGTGGATGCAGAAGTAAACTTAAAATGCCTCCTAAATTGGTACCAGATTTTAAGAGTAGAACTCACAACAGGATTATTTGTATGTCCAGAGAGGTTGGTGGGAATGGAAGAGGTAAGTAGTGCCATAGCGGAGGATGAGCCACAAGACTGTGCCTCAAATCTAGACCATGGAGGATGCACTGATTTTGACCAAAATGAAATCTTGTGTGTGAAGCCCAATAATATAATTGGAAGTTCGGGAGAGACAGTCCAGCGTTAAGTCTACATCTTTGAAGAATAGATTTACTTATTCTGGGTGCCTTTCCATTCCATAAAAAGTCAGAAATAACCTCATCAAGAGTCTTACAAAATTGTTTAGGTAGGAATAGAACGAGACATTGGAAAAGAAATAGGTACTTAGGAAGAATGTTCATTTTAACCGTGTTAATTTTACCTATAAGCGACAGAGGTAAACTCTTCCATCTTTGAAGGTCTGACTTGATTTTATTACCCTGAACTTTAAGTATAACTCCACTGAAAAAAATAAATAATTAATAATAAAAAAATAATCGTTATATTTCGATTACGTTGTTTTCGTAATCGTTGCAAGCCATAATCGTAATTGCGATTCAAATACGATTAATTGAGCAGCCCTAATACAAAGGCTATCACATCTTCATGTTTATGTTGAACACAATTCAAACTGATATTTATTTTGGTTTCACGTTCAGCCTTTCCTAAAATGCGTTGCTGAGATAACTGTTTTGCTTATTTGTGGTGCCTTAGTTTCCTCTCCTCGAAAGACAAGCTAGTGTTGCTATGCTGCAGTTTACAAAGTTTGCAAACAGCCGTATCTATTTGCATCGTTCTTCACCATATGCAGTTGAATCGGAAATGCTTCCTCCAATTACCTCCGAGATGGTGTCGTGATTATCCATTCAGCAGAGCTTTCATGTCTCTCATTTCCCTTGTATTCAGCAAGAGGAGCACCAACAGCTCACTGAGGGCAGCAGGCCATGCAGTGCAGCGGAGGGACAGTGTTTTAGGAACACTTGATAACAAGCCACATCCTGTTGTACTTCTACACCTCAGAATTTGAAATGTCTCTCTACATCCTCACATATCAAATATTCTCAGAAATTCGACTGCTACTGTGAATTTTGAATACAAATGACAGCCTACGCCATGCTGTCTTCACCCGTCAAGTATAACTAGGTGTATCTGAACAATGCTTTAAACCTGGGTTGCAGTGCTCCAGCTGCCCGAGGCACATTCACCAGTCAGAGGTCCCTTTTTCGACCTTTGGTGTGCTCCATCGCATGCATCTTGGATACTGTGGAGTGTGCTGGACTGCTAACTTGGAATTGAAGGAAAAAGACAGGATAAATGATTGAATGAAAGCAGGCTAGCTGTAGATTTTAAGATTGGATACAGGGGAGTAGAAGAGAGATGTGACGGGTCAGAGTGTTTGAAGATGAGCTTGTTTATGAGAGAGTGAAAGGATCAAATCATAGAGTGAGTGGAGAAGAGGAAGGAGCAAACAAGCAGCAAAGTCGGAGGAAGAGTGACAAGGACGGAATAGACAGCAGGATGACAGACAGGGTGGAGTGTGACGAGGAGGAGAATGACGTACGTGATCACTGATAAGGCAGAGTGACACAAATGTCACCATGCTAACCTTTCATGCACTCTTGCTCTCTCTCCTCTCTACTTTGCCCTCTCCTTTTCCTTCCCTTCCAGATCTAAAGCCCTGCAGAGATGGACACCAAATGGGCATCGTGGAAGCCAAGATCCACCCTCCAGCGACGAGCTTACCACATCTAACCTTCTCCTACATCTCCAGCCATCAGCTCGAGGACTGAACCTGCAGATTTAAACTCCTACAGTTCAGAGTGAGATACCAGAAGCTGTCTACAGGAGAAAAGCAGTGCGTGACAAGCCTCAGAGGAGTCGACTTACAACAAAACAGCCAACCTGTTGAGCAAATACGATTGAGCTTCTTGAACTTCTCCTGAAATGAATTAAGTTGCTGTGATGCTTGAGCAATGGCATGGAGCTTTCAGACATGTCCGGATTTATCGCCCGGATATCCTGTCGAGATTACGACACTTTTGTGCACACCTCAGAGCTGGGCCCCTTTTTCAGATTGGCTTGTGGGCAAAAGCGAGTAATTGAAAATCCCCCCTTGAGAGGCTCTCTGCTCTGATTTGTTGTGGGAGAGAACGGCCATTGTTCTATTTTTTTTAAAAGAACAATTAGAAAAAACAACCTTGTTGCCACATTTTTCTCCTTCTTTTTCGCCATCTTTCTCACACATCGAGGAGAGACACATTGTGAAGCAGCGCCATTCTTCTTTATCCCCCTTCGCTGACGGAGAGAGAGGAGGGACATACTGTCCAGAATAGATAACGAAGAAGGAGACTGGCAGTGAGGGGAAGGAAAAGCAGAACATAGAAGTAAACAGGTAGAGAGAGAAATAGAGAATTAGGACCGTTTGAAATCCTCTCGGAGAGTCTGTTTCTAATTCGCCTGTGCCGTGTTGGAGTCTAGTTAGCGCAACGGGGAGGGTCGGGATTTACACCAGGGGGGGCACTTGAGCAGGAGAGAAGGGTTATGTCCCCCCTGTACCTGCATTTCAGTGTTTGGCAGGAAGACAGACTGAAAGATGGCCCGGTAAACGGACAGCTATACTGACAGACAAGCTCTGAAGCTGGTCAGACAGACAGACAGGAAGACAGACAGACAGACAGACAGGAAGACAGACAGGAAGACAGACAGAAGACAGACAGGAAGACAGACAGGAAGACAGACAGAGACAGACAGGAAGACAGACAGGAAGACAGACAGGAAGACAGACAGGAGACAGACAGGAGAGAGGAAGACAGACAGGAAGACAGACAGACAGACAGGACAGACAGACAGGAAGACAGACAGGAAGACAGACAGGACAGACAGGAAGACAGACAGACAGACAGGAAGACAGACAGGAAGACAGACAGGAAGACAGACAGACAGACAGACAGGAAGACAGACAGACAGACAGACAGGAAGACAGACAGGAAGACAGACAGACAGGAAGACAGGAAGACGGGAAGACGGGAAGACGGGTACACAGCCTGTTCCAAGTGTCAGGCACACAATCTGCACAGAAGCATTTCATTGTCATTCTATGCAGGAGTAGTTTGTGAGGAAGACACAGGGAGAAGGTAAGACAGCAAATAAATGCGTTTTTCGCTTGTGGTTAATTCATCTGCATCCACCTCAGTCAGTACGTTGGCACTGCGAGGGAGGGGGGCTGTTTCTAGAAAGGAAATACAGGTTGCAGAAAGAGACAGAGAGAGAGAGGCAGAGAAACAGAGGGAGAGAGCAGGTGTCGGAAATCCTCTCCTTCATCTGCTTGTCATTTACTCCTCTATGTTCGCTCGTCGTCTGGCGAGGTGATTGGTTTTGTGATGCCGGCGTTCTTTTGCTCATAGGCACCTCTGCAAACAAGAGAAAAACAAGAAGTGAGCAGACAGAGGAAACACAAAAAAAGAGACAGCATAAAAGATAAGCCCTTTTTTGATTGACTAATTTTTCACCCTTTCCGTTTCTTATTTGTCGAGACGGGCTGTTGTTATTTAGAAGGAAGAAAAACACCGGCCCAATCAATCCCTCATTTTCTCTGCACACCGAATTGAACCTCTCCCTTTAATCAATTGTTGATTTTTCTTTGCCTTGCTCTAAAGGGATTATTTTCTCCACCTGACTATAAACACTGGAATCCTCAGATTACCTCTATCTGTCCTCACCCCCAATGAGACAGTGTGAACCCCTTTGACACCCCACGGCACCCCCCTCGGCGGAAGTGCCTCAACCCTGTGGTCTCTGATCTCCATGCCTGTGTTGACTCACTACTACAGTGATAACATGGCACAGCGCTTCTGATACCATCTGATTCATTCTGTAAGTAGGACTCTCTCTCTTTCTATGTGTGTGTGTATGTTCGCATGTTCTCTGCATGTCATTAGCACGTATTCAGCTCATGTATGCAGAAAAACAGACATGGTCCGTCTTTTCTGCAGTGTTGGTTTTATGGTGTCTTCGCAGCGGATTTGCTTTCCTGTGCTTCCTCTGCTTCAGGCAATTTGAGCGTGTGTGTGTGTGTGTGTGTGTGTGTGTGTGTGTGTGTGTGTGCCAAAGAAAGAGATGTTGATCTTACAGCCAAGCTTACAACAGCATCAGAGTGGTGTCAGAAAGAAGCAAAGGAGGGGCCTTTCTCTGTGTGTGTGTGTGTGTGTGTGTGTGTGTGTTTGGAGGGGGATATCTTTGTGTGTGTGACTGTGTGTGTGTGTGTGTGTGTGTTTGGAGGGGGATATCTTTGTGTGTGTTTCTCTGTGTGTGCACATGCCAACATATTGTCCTGAGGTTAATTTGAACTAATTAGTAGTGAGTATTTTTCGCTTCTCAGAGCGGTTTTTTGGTTCTGTGTCAGTGTTCTTGCATTCATTAGGGTGAGATGGAAAGGGGCTAAAACTGAAGAGGGTGAACCAGCTAATGAGAATGACTGTGATAATCCTGACTAGTTATTTGCTGCCTCCATTTCACGTCTAATGCTCTGAGCATTACAGCCCGGCTGCATATCATTTCAGCTTCCTTTTATCTCACTCATGTGTTGCCTTTGATGAAACGTTATATACTGAGACCAAGCCTCTGCAATGTCCTGCATATTACTAAGCCCATCTATCTCCGCGGACACATCCACATCTTTATACACTCCCACAGTCACCAGGCCCAGCACCGGGAGACGCTCAATCAAGATAGTCCCTTCAAACAGACCAATGAACTGTGAATAACGCCATTACAGCTCAGAGCGTTACAGAGACAGGAAGATTGTGAGAGAGAGTGAGAGTGAGAGAGAGAGCGAGAGAGCGAGAGAGCGAGAGAGCGAGAGAGCGAGAGAGCGAGAGAGAGAGAGAGCGAGAGAGAGAGAGAGAGCGAGAGCGAGAGAGAGAGCGAGAGCGAGAGAGAGAGCGAGAGCGAGAGAGAGAGACAGAGAGAGAGAGAGAGAGAGAGAGAGAGACAGAGACAGAGACAGGAGAGAGAGAGAGCGCGAGAGAGAGAGAGAGAGAGAGAGAAAAACATTTGGGAGATTGAAGAACAAGAGTAGAAGGAGAAAGAGAGAGGAGACTATGACACAGAAAGCAACAGAGAGGAGGACACATGGAGGAGGGAGGGTGAGACGAAGGGAGTCTAGAGGGGCCGCGGATCAGGAAAAGACCTCTGATGGGTTTAGCGAGGCCCCGCTTTGTTCACACTGTTGGTCAGCCTCTCAGAATTAAGATGACTAAATAATACGATTACTGCGGCTGCACACTGATAACACGCTGCTGCCGATCCCCTTTGTCACTGTCAGAAAACCCAGAGAAGAGGGCAGGACAGGCATATGATGGCATCAAAGGCCTGACTGAGTACATTACTCTGTCACAAGGCCCTTTGCTTCACAACATGGCTTCTCTGCTTGCAGCGGAGTGAAAGAGGAAAGACATGATGTGACTTTTAATATGACAAGTGGCCATAAACAGAATGGCGCTGAGGAAAAAAAGAACTTCTCTTCAAACTGATGGATCTTGTCATCATACATTTTACTCACCTTACCTTTTCTTACGTCGTTAACGTTGTGCTGTCAGCTCCCAAAAATGAGTAAACGGGTCAAAACCGCTGTATATTACCTGATTGCACATGTGTAAACATAAACCACGGCTATCACGGTGAGATGTCTGCTCCTTATCTCGATGTTTTACACCACATCCTCTGCGTGGGCTATTTGTTTCATGTTTCCACGCTTGACAGCTTTGACACCGATTCCTGCCAAGTTGACCTTGCAGTTTAAAGTGTAATAAAAGCTGAATTCCCAGGCTGTGTGGCACATCGTGTGCTATAGCTGATAAATGGTCTCACACCCTCTGGAGAGGGGAGAAACAAGCAGGCAGCAGAAGCCGCTGTCCAGTCCGGCTCAGTGGAAGCAAAGTACAAGCGTCTGAAACCTCCTGCTTCCAGAGCAGTGAGCTAATGCCAGGGCTCTGACCCCCTCCTATGAGAGAGGAAGCTTCTCCACTCTCCTCTCAGCAGGAGCAACCATTAGCCTGCAGAGCTAAAGATTAGCTTGGGGCAGGAGATAGAAGATGCATTAAGTATGTGATGGTATGGTACAAGAGTAAAAAATAACAAACTAGAGCAGAGGGGGGGTGGCACAAAACAAAATCAATGAAATATGACACAGAAAAAACATGTAGCTTAAAAACAAAGCCCCAAAGCACTGCAAGTTGGCAACCGTTAAGTTCCTCTTCTGTTGCCGTGCAGCACATTTGTCATCCAGTAGAGGTTTCATGTTCATGTCATGGAGTGTCTTTGCTTCAGTGACATCATATGAACTTTGACCCGAGGCCTTCCCCACAGTCACAAAATAACTGAATGAGTCAGTGATAAGAACCAGTCAAGAAGCATCCGTGTTGAACCACATGCACTCTGCTCAGCAGGCGCAGCCATGCAGAAACAGAAAGGCAACATGGAGATGATGTGCCAAATGACCAGTTATGTTTTTGCCTCATTCACGTTCCCCCTTTTGAAGTGCTTTTCACAACAGCAAACACTGTGTTTGAACAGTATGCTCCAATCGTTTCCCTCAGCTTGGTGTAAACGATGCACACGGTTCATAAGAGAATCTTTCCTGTTGGTTTCAGATCATCCCATCGCCCTGTGTTACCCGTTAGGTCCTCTCAGATCAACAATCATCCCTCAGGGTTTCATTTTGTAATCGCTGGGGTCGATTTTTATTTGCTTTTTCAAATAGAAAATGTCGTTCCTTGATTATTCTCCTCTTACTGTTAAGGTATAACATAACACATTTCCACATTGTCTGCATCATTAATAATTTGACAGTTCTTTGTTGGGAACAGCTGCTTCCTCTGCAAAGGTGGTAAGCAGCTGTTATTTCATTAACTGTGCTATAGAGACCCCTCTTCAGGAATAGATCATTGCTACACTGTTATCAACGCTGAATCCAATATTCCCTGTGACTTGCTTCTGCTGTCGTGCCCCATGATGCCTCTTGCGTGGTCGTTCACCCCTGAAGTGTCGCAGAGAGCAACAGCTCCAAAGAGAGCCAGGCTATTTTGGGATTTGAGATCTCTTCTAACACGGAGCAGCACTTCAGTTTCATGTGCCTTCAATCCTCCGCCGCTTGACCACCAGCGCGAGGCACTGCAGCCTGCACTAAACCTTTGCTCCTCATTGTCTAATGGAGCACACAAGATGGCTCTGTTTGCTTAGCTGTTTGTCCACTCCTGCTTGCTACAGGCTAGCAGGCCTTAGGGGGAAAGGATTGAGTGTGTATGAGTTTGTGTGTGAGGTGGATGACAAGAGATGGACATTAGCACACACATGCCCTTTCCATAATGCGTTCCCAGCTGGGCTGTTTGGATGGCCATGAAGTGAATGCCACTAATGGCCTCTCAGTTAATGGAGTCATTAAGATTGGATTGCAAGAAGATAAAAGCAATGTGTATAATGTGTGTGAAGCGGGTGGAAGTGTTATCATTTGTATATGTGTATTGTTACTGTAAACGCTTTGTGTAAGCCTTTTCCTTCAGTAGATACACCCAGGACAACTGAAAGCAGGCAGTGCCACCGCTGCATTAGCATTAGTAGAAAAGGTCAGTATTCTGTCAGTGTAATTGTAATCCGGTCTGAGGCTCAGGTGATCAGTCCTCACGGCGGAGGCTCAGATATTCACAGCGTTAGTGTTGCACCGCTGCCTTGTGAGAGTGCATGTGACATAGGCTGAAAGGCTTCATTTGAGGTCATCTCAGGACATATCCCCGAGAGGATATGGCAAGGCCTGGGAAAGGCATTCTGGGTAGTGTTGCGTGTTGTTTTCATGGTGGCATGACTGCTCATTAAGTCTATGTCAATTTCTTAATTCTCACCAGAGGGTTGGCCATGTCACTGTGCTCATCATGTTTTAAAGCTGCGGTCCAGCATGCCTCATTCACTCGTTGCAGTCAATGAAAGGCAGCCTTCAATTCACCACGAGGGGAATCTAGTTTGTTGGCAGAATGAAAATGTCCTCCTCACATGGTAAGATGATTAGAATATAATAAACTCTTCATGACTAGCCTAGACCAACCTGTTTGATTGCTAAACCTTTTGGATATTCACAATGTTATTATCAATTTGGCAGAGGTGCTTTTCATACACATGTTTCCCACTCGCAAATCCTCACAGGTGTTTATCCGTCAAATGGTGTCAGTCTGTGTATCAGAAGATTAGAAAATAAAATTCAGAGCGCATCTTTTAATCTAATCACTTACTAAGCAGGCTAAGCCCGTAGCGGGAAAAGTGAGTCTCAGCAGGGGGAAGCCATTCTGCAATCACTGATCAAACCTGCCTGCAGACCCCCGAGGACACCTGCAAAATAAGGAACAACTGATTAAAATTCATTGTTTTTTATGTCAAGATCACATAGTGAGGGCATTTCATATTGTTGGAGTGATTTTTGTGATCAAATATTTCATTATTAAAAGTCAACACAGTATAATCCGTTTTTTGAGAGCCTTTTTTTAAAGATGTCCCCCCAAAAAAACCCATATTTAGACAAAGTTATTACAGTAGTAAGGCATTGTCTTTTATTACAATGTGAGCTGACGCAGTTTTGAACTGCTTATCCACTTTTGTACAATCCTACATAATTGCTTCTGTGTGAACATTTTTTTCAAAAGTCATCCAGGCAACGGCATTGTCAGCCTTGGTCTACTGAATCTATTTTACATTTTAATTCTACACCGTGGCACCTGCTGAGCGGCAGTCTGCCTGACGGTGTAATAATGGCACTCATCATGATATCTACAGGTGTCTCTTTGCACTGAGGAAGATCATTAATATACGTAGGACTCAGCTCTGTTAGA